CGGGCTTCAGCACCGCGGACAGCTCCGGAGGCGGGCGGCGGGCGCGAGGCTTTAACCCCTTGGCGTCCTGCGCCGGGTGGCGGAGGGGGCCGGGCAGGGGGGAGGGGGCCCGAAGGGGAACGCGGGGGCCCCCTTGGCGGGAGAAGGGGGAGGGGCGAGGCATGGGGGGGAGAAGGGGAGGCACTTCCGGTCTGGGCCCCCCGCTTAACCCCCTCCTCCCTCCAGAGCCCTCCCGCGCAGGTGCAGAGCGAGGGAGAGCGGAGAGAGACGCACAACACCACACAAGATGCCTCGCGACCGCGTGCGGGGACGCGCGAACCGAGCCCCACTTCCCAGGCAGGGATACCACGGTGAGAGAGGCCCCAGGAGGGGACGCACAGCCCCCCATCGCAGACCGACACATAATGCACCCCGACACAGTCTGGAAGGGCCAGGAAGGGAAGGCTAGAAACATTGAGACTGGGCCCCAGAGCAGTGAGAGACACCCCTCCCCCCGCCCCAAAGAAGCCCAGACGAGGGACATACACACACCGCAGCTCACTTGAGAGAGGAGAGGGCATAGACCCCCAGGGAGAGGAGAGAGGGTGGCAACAGGCCAGGACCTCAGAGCTCCAGCAGGGATGCAGGGTACACACCACAGGCCAGGCCACCTCAGACAGGGTCAGGGAGAGCAGGGGGGAGGCAGGAGGGGAAGAGGCTCAGACACACCACACAGTGCAGCACATGCCAGTGGGCACAAGGAGGAAAGAAGGGGAGGGGATGAAGTTGACGGAGCTAGGGGAGGAGAAGGAAGAAGCTGAGGGCAAGAGGGAGCACCCCTATCCAGCTGGGAGAGCAAGTGATTCCCAAAACAAGGCCAAGGAGAGACCCAGAGAGACACTGTCAGAGACAAGAAGCAGAGGCTGATAGGGAGATTTGGGGTGGGGGGGACCTTGATACTCACCCGGTGCCCAGAGCCCGAGACGTGCCAGGTGAACACGCACAATGGTCAAGCGCCTCAGACACTCCGGGCGCAGGGTGGCACCCCAGCCCCACCCTCTCTCCCCATCTTTTGTTATTTCTCTCCCCCCAACCCCCCCCTCCCGTCCCCACTGGCCAGAACACAGACACATAGGTTTGGACACATTTAATGGAAGGATGCTACAAACAAGGAGACCCTTCCCTGGATGGGGGGAGCGGTGGGGGAGGGTGTCATCTTTCAGATACCCAGTTATGACCATCCCTCCCCCACAGTCTTGCCCTTCTGGAAGCCCAAGCCCTGGAATCCTCCCCTCTTCTGTCCTCCCCTCCCCCAGGGCCCCAGGTCCTGAATTCCAGATCAATCGGACAGATGCAAATGCATGCACACAATTTTCTGGGCTAACACGCCCGCACAGTGACATGCATAGAAAGAGACAGACGTGTGCAAAAACCCACCTGTCCGTTCAAGGTAAGCAGACACACTGACATCCCTGGAAACACTTGCCCTCATTCTCAGACACACAGATTCAGGGAAACACAAATGTGCAGTGCCAGCCACACGATTAGGCTCAATCGTGCGCCCACAAATGACAGCCACAAATGCACCCATCTATACAGAGTAGGACAGACTCTCTCGCTGTCATGGGCACATATAGGCACATGGCTATACGTCTAGGGGCCTCTAGCCACCCATGCACACGGACACGTGTCATGCGCACCTACAGAGACACAGGGGCAAGGACACACTCAGAGAATCCGTACAAGGACGCTCGCCTGTGTAAGATGTTCACGCACAGGGAAACCAGCTCTGTTCGTGCACACACAAGTCCATACATCCCCAGGCACCCCTTTCTTCCCATTCCTGACCCCGTGCCCTCCCTTCCCCTCCCCTCTCACCTCCCTGGGCCAATCCCATCCATCAAGCTTCTGAAGCAAGTCAGCCAGCAGCCAGGGAGGGGAAAGGTGTCAGTGTGCCCATCTCTCCACCCCCACCCGTCCTGGCCCAGCTCTGCCTGCCCCTCTCCCCACGCCCGTGCGAGGCATGGGATGCATACACTTCTGCTGCACATGACCGCACAGAGATGGGGCACATGAAGGAGACAAAGGCCTCCAGCCAGCCACACACACGAGCTCCCCCGGTCCCCAGACATCCCCATCCTTATCTGTCCACCCATTGGTCTCAGGCTACCCCAAACCTGGGCAGCCTCAGTGGCTGCCAAGGATGGTTTGGGACTGGGCTTGTGGTCTGAAGCTAACTCTGCCTTCCCCCAGCTCTGGATCAAACTTTAGAGGGAGCAGAAAGGAGGCGTGGAGGTGGTGGAAATATTTAAAGGTGGAGTATGAAGGTAGGTTGGGGTGAGGGGCACCCGAGGGTGTAAGGACATTTACCTTGGGGCATCAAAGCTGTCGTAGGAGCCCACGGTATAATGCCGGAAGAGTCTCTTTGCCTTGTCACTGCGGCTTTCTGCAGGGGGACAAGGGACGACCTTGGACCCTCACTCTGGAAACCGTGGGCCCACCCCTGGGGGTCCTGGCCCACGTCGTCCCCTCTACCTCCCAGCACCCCACCCCCGTCGGGAGAGCCCTCAGATGATCGGGGACAACTAGGGACTCCTCATTACCTTGCTTTCCCTCCTGGGAGCGGTTCGCCACCTCTTCTAGGCAGTCAGAGGGGAACCAGCCAATGCGACCTTTGACCTGGCCTTCCCAGAAGCCTCCTTCCCCGATGCTAAGCACTGGGTGGGGAGCAGGGACATAGAAACATTTCTGTGTTTCCGTGTCACGCCCCACCCCCAACATATTCGATGCACAGCCTTGCCACAATTCCCCGGCACCTAGCACAGGGCCTGGCCCAAGGGCATCCTTAATAAATGTCCAAGGCAGGGATGAGGGGGAGGGGAAGAATCAAATCCTATCATTCCTGCACTCTTGATTTCCGAATCCAGTGGGGACATCCAGAGGCACTGGGAGAAAGGGCTGTGTCTGGTGACATGGTCCTCGCAGGTTAGGGACACATCCAGGACTGGCCCTCACCTCCCCTGGTAACCAACCAGTCACAGCTCGGGTGTTCTGTAATTTCGTGAAGCCCTTCTAGACTCCCTAAACCCTTCTGCAGTCCCGCCACTGCCCCCGCCCCCTCCCACAGCCTCCTGGCCACTTAAACTTCTGTCCTTTGCTTCCAGCCCCTGCCCTCTGCCTCTCTTTGCTTCCCCTGGCTCTAGACAGGAGAAGAGATTAGAATCACATCTTTCTTCCTGTCCACCACCTGTCACTGGAGGCCCTTTCCTGCTGGCCCCATCTCTTAGCCACACACGGCACACGTTTGCTGACCACCCGCTCTGTGTCTGTGTGTGTGTGCGCCGGGCACTCAAGTACAAAGACGGACATCGGGGACTGCTAACGTCTATCCGGTTCTCACTGGTGACCAGAACCCTAAGAAGGGACACTTCCATTAAACCCCTTTTGCCGGTAGGGAAACCGAGGCTCAGGGAGCCGAGGTCATTTGCTCCAGAATATACAGCTTGTAATCCATAGAGCCTGGATTTGAACACCACTCTGTGTCTCCACCGTGAATGCTCTGAGTCATAGTGTTTTGCTACCTCTCTGTTCAAGCATTGTGTTGCTGCTGCTTCTGATGCTGATGGTCATGGCAACAGTAACAGATGCACAGTCTTCCATTTCTTCATTTCTCCTGGCTCTGTCTCCGCTCGGCCCTTCGCATACTTCCCTCACGCCTACCAGGGTAGGCAACAACTGATTTCCCATTTTATAGATGAAGAAGCTGAAGCTAAAGCAGAAAAGTCCCTGGCCCCAGAGATGGCTCAAGCCACACTGGGATTTGAGTTGGGGCCCCCTGGTGCTTTTCTTTGCTTCACTGGGGAGACCAAATCGAGGAGATGCTCAAGGTCATGGAAGGGAACAGGCGAGGGGGTAACAAGGGGTCTGGGTTCTTGGCTGGCCCTCCAGTGACCGGCTTGGTGGTCATGGAATCAATCGTCCGGTCACTGAACAAATATTTATTTAGTGCCGGTCATGAGTCAAGCACCAGGCTAGACACGGGGTAGAGCACTCTTGGACACAACCACTGTGGTTCTTGCCCTCGTGGAGCTTCCACGCTGGCAGCCGTGGGAGGCGTAACTCTGTAAGGGACCTCACGATTGAAAATTAAGGTCAGCACTCCAGGGGAAAAGGACGGGGTGTCCGAAGAGAGGCCAGATGGGGGTTTATAAATCGGACGGCAAAGGGGCCAGGACGATGTCTCGGAGGACATGACATATAGACTGAGACAAGAAGGATCCTAGGAGTTAAAGAGGCAAAGAGAGGGAGGAAAAGGTTGTCTTGGCAGAAGGAACAGCTCGTGCAAAGAGCCTGGTGTGGAAAAGGGCTTGGGGCACGTGAGCAATGGGGAGAAGGAGGTCCCTGGTGCCCTGTGGGGGAAGGAAAGAGTGCCATGAGATGAAGTTGGTGGGTGGGCAGGGGAGGGCCGGCAAGCCAGGCTCAGGCACCGGGCTTTGGCCTGAGAGCAGAGGGAGCCTGCTGCCTCATCGGGATGCGGCGAACCTCAGTGGCATCGTGGATGGAGGCAGGCTTTGAAGCGACTAAATGTCTTAATGAAAGGGAAGGATACAAAAACGGGGCAGTGTACAGGAGTATTGGGCTTGAATTTCAGAAAGAAACTTGGAAGATACCGCACACGGAAGGTCCCTGCCCTCGGACCTTAGCTTCCCTTTCTTCTTGCAAACTCTGTCTCAAAGCACCGACCTGACCCTCCATGTGTGCGTGCCTGTGTGTGTGTTCACACCCGCACACAGGCATGCACACTTCCCAGGCACCCTGCCTCTGGAGGCATTGCCCCTGGCCCCCACAGTTTGCTCCTGCATCTGGCCATTCACTCATTCACTCATTCAGCAGATGTGCACTGAGGCTTTCTGTGTCCTGGGTCATTACACTGGGCCCCGGCAACCCAGAGATCAATGACATGTGACCTTGCCTTCAGGAACTCAGGCTACGGGAAGAGATAGTGCAAAACGGATGCTGATCCACGACCCACCTGACCCTCTGATCCCTGCACATGCTTCAAGGCCCCACACAACCTCCGTCTCCTATGGGAGGAAACCCCAGCTTTCACGGGCAGCCAGGGTCTCTTTCTCTCCCCTCTAAGCTCCTGTCATGGGGGCCCGCGGAGGATCACGATCATTGGCGCTTGCTATGTGCTCAATATGGTCCTGGGTGCTTTAAGGTAACTGACTTTTTAAATTCTCACCAGGGTCCCACTGTACAGGTAAAGAAACTGAGGCCCAGAGAAAAGTCACTTGTCTGCGGGCGCCCAGCCAGGAAGTGGTAGAGCCAGGATTTGAACCCAGGCAGCTTGGCCCTCCAGCTCTACACTACTCAGCTCCCCTGCAGCCTAGAGTCGGCAAAGAATTGCTCCCCCGCCTCGCATTAATTGCCACGTCTGCTTGCTTCCCGTTTCCAAGCTTCATTCTATCCAAGAACACACGTCAACAGCCCTGCGAAGTCTGCACGTGAGGGCTACTGGCACCATTTTCCAGAAGAAGACAGAAAAACCAAAGAGAGGCAAACTCCAGGAACAGCAGCGTCTGCCGCCGCTCAGGGAGCCCTTGGCATGGTCCTGGCTTCCAACACCTGTCTCATGAGAGCCCCGTGAAGCGGGCCCCCCCACCCCGTTCCTCAGATGAGAGCACCTGGCAGGGGCAGGAGGTGAGGTCAAGGTGGCTTGTCCCCACGCTCCACACCAGGTGGCAGGAAAGACTGTGGGCTCACACTGGGGACTGGGGCAAGTCACTTGACCTGTGAGACTGTTCCTTCAACTGTCAGAGGGGCTCCTGACACCCTCCTGAAAGGCCGACCCTGCAGGGGGACCACTCCCACAGGGCCTGGCATGGTGTCGGGGTCCCCCAAATGCTCATTTCCCTTCTTTTGCCTCAACACCTCCTCCCAACGGGTGGCATCTGGGCAGCTATGCTTCATGCTCCTCTGGGGCAGAGGGGCATCCAGGGGCTCTCTGGGGTCCCCAGAGTGCATCAGACAGCCTAGGCCCCGGAGAACTGTTTGTCCTTGACTGTCTTCTCCTTGAGTGGTTGGCTCCCCTGCCCGACCCTCAGCCTGGCCCGGCCCTGCCCTGCCCTGTTACCTTTGATCTTCTCCCCCTTGCTCAGGGAGATCTCCCCCTCGGCTTGGGCCTGGTAGGACTTCACGGCCATGAAGGAGCGTCCGGGTACTGCTGAGTAGAGCTTCCTGCGCCTCCCGCGGCTGCCCAGGGAGCCCCCAGGGCCCCCTGAGCCCCCTGTGCCCCCTGCCGGCCCTTCCCTGGGCGTCCCACTGGAGCTGCATACACAGAGGGTGTGAGAGGCAGGGAGAGTGGAGGGAGGGGGCACCTCTGGGAGAACAGGGGTCCGTGGGGTAGGGGGAGATGGAGCATCAGAGTGGGGGAGGGGGCTTGAGTGGGTGTCCCAGCTCTGGCGTCCTGGGGGGAAGAGGGCATTTGGGGGCTCCCCCTGCCTGCCCACTGCTGCCCCCCAGCCCCCTCCTCTGCCTCCTGGCTTCCGGCTCTGCCCCTCCCACGGCCCTGCGTGCTGTGCCTGATTCAGCTTCCTGAAGCGGAGCTCTGACTGTGTCATCTCTCAGCTCCCTCACGAGCCTTCAGAGACTCCCAGCTTCCTCCTGGTGCAGGTCCAACTCCTCTGCCTGCCATGCCTGGCCTGCCATGATTTTTTGCTCTCCCGTGTCCTCAGGACATACTGGCCAGCCACAGTCCCCCTTCTCGTCCTCCTCTAGCCAGCCTGGCCTCTTTACCCCCAGAATGCCCCCTGCTCGTCCTCCCCTCTACCCTGAGTGGCTCCTCCACTACCCCCCCACCGTGGTCTCATCTCCAAGCTCAGAAACCCTTCCCCAAGTCCCTCGCCCATCCCCACCCCATTTGGCTTTTTCTCACCTTGCCCTGTCTGTCAGTCTGTCTTCGGGGGCTGGAACCAACATTTCTTTTGGGCACCCCACCCCTGACCCCTGGCATCGAGCAGGTGCTTGGCTGAACTGGCACATTTGGGGGTGGGTGCAAGACTGTGGCTTACAATGCCCTCCCTTCCTCAGGGAGCAGGAGAGAGATCTGGAGGCCTGAGGGTGGGACCAGGGACTGGGGTGGATGGGGCGCCAGCCTGGGTGGGGGGAGCTGGGGCTCCGAGGATAGGATCTGGTTGGGCTGGGGTCTGTGGGACCAGGGCTGAGCTTTCCCCTACCTGGGCCGTCCACGGGGCTGCCTCTTGGCCTCTTCAGGGTGCCTCCCGCGGGATGGGGAGCGGGCCCGGGCGCCCCGGGGGCTGCTGGCACTTCGGAGGGTCCCACTGCTGAGCTTGGTGCTGGGGGCCGAGGGCTGCGACTGGCCCTGGGGCCCTGAGGTAGGGCCAGGGGCCCCAGAGGACGAGGTCCCCGGGGCGGCAAACACCATCCAGTCGGGCAGGGCCATGCTGGTATCACTGTTGGCCCGAAGCAGTGCCGGGGGCACCGTCAGCCCTACGCCGGGGGGTCCCCGTCGCCGGGCTGCGTACTTGGGGGACTCCTGGAAGGGCACTGAGAGGGCACAGTGGCAGGGGGCAGAAGGGGCAGGGGAGACAGGCAGGTGGAGGGGGCATGCAGGCAAGGGAGGACAGGGGAGAGGCACGAGGGAAGAAAGATAGACGTGAGCGAGAGTGGGGGCCTGGAATCGCACCCCCTACTACTACCCAGATGCTCACAGTCCGCTGACTCCCCAGTCCCACCATGCACCCCCAATACCCTAGGTTCTCCCCTTAGCCGTACTTCCCACTCGCTCACCCACATCCTGTTCTCGGTGGTTTCGGATCAGCTCCCCCAATTCAAAATTCCCAGCGATCACTGCCACCTGGAGGGAGGGGACACAAGGAGGTGGGGTGGCCCAGGCCGCAGAGGGAGAGAGCGGGAAGCACGGTGAGGTCCCTGGCCGGCTGCCCCCCGCCCCTGCCCCCCAAACCTTCACCCCAGCAACTGCGCCCCTCCCTCCTCTCCCAGACCACCAGCACCCCTGCCTGTCCCACCTTCCTCACCCCCTGCCTTCTTTGGGCCCCCCACCAGCCCTCACAGCCCCAGACCTGGAAGGGGGTCTGTCCATTGTTATTCTTCACATCCTTGTTGGCTCCTCGATAGAGGAGGATCCGAGCGCAGGTCTCCTGCAGGCGATGGTGGTGGCAGAGGGTGAAACAAAAGAAAACGGTGAAGGTCATGAGCAGACAGAGGCACTGGGCTAAGAACTTCCGGAACAACCTGATCTAAACCTGCCTCACCCAAGACAGCAGCCACTTACCACATGTGGCTCAAGAGCCCTTTAAATGTGTCCGGTCCGAACTGAGATGAGCTGTACGTGTAAAATACACACCAGATTTCAAGAACTTAGCATGAAAAAAAAAAAAAAACAACGAAGTATCTCTAATAATTGTTATATCGCTTGCATGTTGACATGATAATATTTTTGGAAACCATGGGCTGATAAAATATGCTACAAAAATTAACGTCACCTGTTTACTTTTTTTTTTTTTTAACGCAGCTCCTGAGACGCTTAAAATTACACGCATGACCCGTGTTATAGTCTACTGGATGGTGCTCAGCAGAAGCAGGCTTTCTTGACCTCAGCACTGCTGACATCTGGGGCCAGATCAATCTTTGTAGTGGCGGCTGTCCTGTGTGCCCTAAGGATGCTTAGCAGCATCCCTGGGCTCTACCACTAGATGCCAGTAGCACTCCTCTCCCCAGTTGTGAAAACCAAGACTGTCTGCACACATTGCTAAATGTCCCCTGGGAGCCAGCGGTGCTCCGTTGAGAGCCACTAATGCAAGCTTCACGGAGGGCTTCCCATGTTGCATGTCAGGGGCTCAGCACTTTAGAGGCGGAAGCTCACTGTATTGTCCAACAACCCACGAGATGGAAATTACTATCCCCATTTTACAGGCGAGGAAGCTAAGACATCACAAGGAGCCCCAGGTCATGCGGCTGGTGACTATCAGCGGTTGGATTTGAACCGAGGTCTGTCGGACTCCAGAGTCTTTGCTCTTATCATGCACTCTGCTAGACCCAGAAGGAAGGGAGGCAGTGGGGGCCAGGGTTGGGCAGTGGGCGGTAGGAATGCTGTTCGCATCCAGATCTGTGCCTTCCTAATGTCAACCACGTCACTCCCTCTCACTGTTTGGATCAAACCCAGTGGCCTTGCCATGGCCTAGAGGCTCTACCTCCACCTGGTCTGCCTAGCCTCCTACCCCCAGCCTCATCAACTTCATCTTCTGCTGCCTTTCTTCACTCCCTGTACTCCAGCCACACTGGCCTCCTTCTTCCTCTGACAGGCATGCTCCTGCCCCAGGGCCTTTGCACCCGCTGCTCCCTCTCCTTGGAATTAATTCTCTGCCCCTAGATTTCCACATGGCTCACTTTCTCGCTTCATTCAGGTTTTTGCTCAAACGCCACCTCTTTGGAGAGGGTTTCTCTGGCCACCTCGTCAAAATAGCTCCCTATCCTGTTCCCTGTTTTATTTTTATTTATATGATGGCCACTATATGCCAGGCATTCTTCTAAGCCAGTATTAGCTCATTTTCTTCATAACGCTATCTCCGTCAAATGACATTTCTCTTTTACTTGTCTCGTTAGCATCTCTCCCCCACTACATTGTGAGTTTTATATAGGGCATGATTTTGCAGCACCCAGCACCTGGAATAGCGCCTGGGCCACAGAAGCTGTTCAATAAACAGTTGCTGAAGTCTTCCACCCTTTGTCTTGGCCCCCGGCTCGACTCCTCTCTCCAGCTCCCCATTGATGCAATTCAACCAGCACTCACAAAGCACCTCCTTGGTCTCACCCTCTCCGTGTAACAAGCATGCCAAGGATGCTTGCATGGTCCCATTCTATAGGACAGGCTCAGAGAGGGCAAATCTGTGCCCAAAGTCACACAGCTGGTGAGTGGAGCAGCTAGGTAGGACTCAAACGTGGCCTCTGAAGCCTAGGGCTCATCTATGTCTTGGGGGCGCACAGCTCAGGTTGCCCAATTCAGTCACTGGACAGCAAAGTAAGCTCAGTTAGTTTTCTGGGTGCTTTTGTGAGTGTGTGAGAGAGTGTGTGTGTCCAAGTGTGTCCATGCTGACCCCCAATGAGACTGTTAGCTGCCGTGTGTGTGTTTGTGTGTGTCTGCCCGCCTCCACCACCACCTTGCCTAGCCCAGGGCCAGACCATCTCCACGGGCCCAACCAGCAATACACCCTACACCTCGAGAACCTCGATTTACTGGTGTCCAACACTGATCTCACGGCATTGCAATTCCTCGTTACACATCTGCCTCTTCGCCAGATGTGAACTCCCCCCCCAACTCCGCAGGACAGGCACCATGCTGAGTCTGATTCATCTCACATCGGTAGATGCCCACAAAACATGCACGGGGAAGTATGAGGATGAAGGATACGGAGCCGAGTCACTCAAAATTCATTTGTTCACGCCATTCATTCATTCACTGAGTCATTCAGTCTATCGCAGAGCAAACACCTGATGAATATTCTGAGGGGGGCTCTGTGTAGTCTTGGGGCAAATTCAAGGTAGCTGATTTATAATTCATCCGTCCACTCACTCATTCAACAAAGACGCACCGAGGCCTACTACATCCTGCGGCCTTGGGACAGAGTAACTGATGGGACTGAGCCCTCACCCTTGAGGAGCTCCCAGCCAATAAACATGGACCTGACCTTCCCCAGCAGGGGAGAGACGGGCATGTCAGGAGGCCAGAGGAGGAGAGAGCTGGGAAATCTGTCAGACCCAGCTCTGGCCCTTGGGAAGCTTAAGGTCTGAGAGGAAAAACAAGGGAGGGAGAAGTACAAAATGAACTATATCTGTCAAGCATCTACTTGCTAAGCACCATGCCAAGAGCAAAAGCAAAACATCCACCCACTTGATCCTTCGCGCTGTAGGTGTTACTGACCCATTGCACGGAGGAGAAAGGAGAAGCTCAAGGAGGGGAAACGACTGGGTCATCCGACTAAGAGTAATTGCTCCCACACTCTAATTCTGTATACTAAGTTTTCCCTGTTGAAATTCACAATACGGTTTCCAGGTCCTGACTAACAAGGCTGCCTTCTGGGGACGAGTGCTTAACATACATGGTCTTTCCTCCCCTTCGATCAGCTGACGTCATCCCCACCACGGGGAGAGGACAGAGCCTGGGAGAGGGCACAGGGCTTGTCTGGGGGGCTGTGGTCTGCCCACAGGCATGCGCAGAGGCCATGGAGCGGGGGAATCTGGGCACGAGGCCTGCGTCAGGGAGCAGGAGAGACAGAAACACCGGGGAGGGGAAGTGACAGCGCTGCGTTGGTTGGGTCTGACAAACACTGAGTTCTCCCTCGGCAGAGCAGACTGCTCGCTGCCACAAGGCAACACGTGGCTACCTGCCACGTCTCCAGCACTGCAAGTTCTGATGAAGCAGAAGGGGCTGGGGCCGTCTTGGAAGACTTCCTGGAGGAAGGGGAGAGGAGGTTGGCAGACCAGCACCAGCTTGCCAAGCCCTGCTCTGCGCAGTCCCTGAGGCACCCCTCCAAGGGCAGGAAGCCCTGGAAAACAAGGAAGGAGACTGAGGGGCTGACTTGCGCAGGATCCGCCTGGGGCTGGGGTCAGTAGGCTGAGAGCCACACTGGCTGGTTTGTGAGGCTCCCTGCCGGCTTTTTACCGCTCACCTTCACGACTCCCGAGGTGGGGGCTGTCCACCCAGCCCCGAATTGCTACAACTTGCAATATACTCTTGTCCCCTTCCGGGCTGGGGTTTGGCCTTTCCTCTGTCCCCTGCAGCACCCCCCCAAACGCACTGCAGCTGCTCCACGGACAGCTGAATGGAGACACACAGGAAAGGGGGCCCGGGGAGCAACTTTCCCTTCCGGCAATGGTCCTGATGTGCTCTCTGCCCTCTGGTTTGTTGAACTGGGCTGTGCCCACTGCCTAGAACACCCTTTCTCTCGTTCCTACTCAGCTGACTCCTGCTCATCTTGGCACAGGTGCCACATTTTCCGAGACCCATCTCCACCCCAACCCCAAGGCCAAGCCCAGATTCCGGCCCCCACGACTCTGGACTGTAATGGGAAGGCATGCCTGGCAGAGGGGCTGTCTGTCTCGCTCACTGCCTGGTCCTCAGCATGGGGAAGGTGCTCAGTAAATATCTGTTGAATGAATGAAGGAGACGGATGAATGAATGAAATGAACAAATGAACGAATAAGTGAACGGACGAATGAATGAAACAGTGATGGAACAGAGGACGCGCAGGGAGGCTGGGAGGCCGGGGGCAGGAGGACCCGGGCCTGCACTGCCAGAGCAGACCTTATTGTAGAGGGCGCAGATGTGCAAGGCTGTGTTCCCCGAGGCGTTCTGGGCTCCGGGCTCAGCCCCGTAGAAGAGCAGGTGTTCCAGGTGCTGAGAGTGACCCCGCTGGCAGGCCTGGGGGGCAGGGGACAGGGAACCCAGGAGGCCACATCAGACTCTCCCAACCACGGCACGTATCTATTGCCTGAGGCCAGGAAACCCTGCATCTCCCTCTCCCTCTCCTTTCAGCCTCCATTCCTGCCCAGGGGCCCAGACTGTCAGCTTCCTGGGTCATTGCAAGACCCAGGTGCCTGGCCTGGCCCCTCGAGAGGCTCAAGAGACCATCCCCACCCATCTCAGGGATCCAGATGTCCAGTCCCCGGTCCATGCCCCCTTAGGGTCCTGGTGTTGCCTCCTCCCATCTTTTTCTCTTTGGAGACCATGCTCCTCCAGCCTCCATACTCTATGAGGACCTCAGCATCTGGATCCCCAGCTCTTTGCACCAGGGTCTCTGATCCTTGCTCTGATCAGGGCCTAGGCACCCCCCCGCCCCGCTCCACACCCCCCCCCCAATCCCTCCTGGCCGAGTCCGGAGCACCTGGTGAATCTCCTGCCAGCCATTCTCATCAGCTATGCCCAGCTGGGCCCTGTTGTACAGGAGGAGCTCACAGCAGCGAGGGTCGCCCCCCACCATCGCCGTATGGAACAGAGGGGTCAGGCCTCGGCGGTCCTTGTAGTTGGGGGAGCCCCCAAGGTCCAGGAGTGCCTGAGGAGGGAGACAAGACAAAAGACAGTCCCACTAGTGCTGGCTCAACCTGAAGGACCAGTGGGGCAGGGAGTCTCGGGTGACCCACACTGGCCAAGGCTGTTGTGGGTTCTGCCACGATGCCCTTGTGTGACCTTGAGCCTGGCCCTTCCACCCATGGCTGACTTTGGATGAGCCATTGAAGGAGCCTGGTGCCTCAGCGCCTCATCCGAGCAGCAGGACGGTCATGTGGGACCACATGAGAACAGAGTCTGGACGCGGGAGGACCCCTGGCCAAGCAGGAGGTGTGGTTGGGACGGGATCCCAAGGATGGGACGCAGAAGGAGACCTGGGAAAAGGGCTAGCTCGGACCAAAGTGAGTGGGTCAGCCTCACTGAGGCTGGGGGCTTGGGGGCAGGGGGCATCCAGGAACAGCTCTGGGCACAGAGGCTGGTGGAGCTGAGCATCATTAGAGGACTGTCAGCCCCAGCCGTGTGAGGACAGCCTGCGGCAGCGCTGTCCACCAGAATGTTTGCAGTGACAAAAACAGCCTGCAACCTCCCCATCCGACACGGCAGCCACATGTGGGCTCTTGAGCGCTAGAATGTGCTAGTGAGCCTGAGGAACAGAAATGTTCATCTTAGTTCACTTTAATTAACTTAAGTCTAAACAGCCCCATGTGGCTAGTGGCTAGAGGATTGGACAGAGTAGGTCTGGAGGCCGGGGGTGGGGGTGAGAGCAGATCTGCCTGGCGGAAGGGAGCAGACTGGGGGTACATCTAGAGGGTTTGTCAATTCCAAGCGCCTAAGCAGATCTTTGTGGCTGGCGTCTGACTGCATTTAGGGTCTTCGGGGCAGCTGGAAAAGGGAAGGGAGGGTCCATTAAGCTGGAGCATCTGTGAGCTGGGTGTTTATCAACAGCTACATATCTTTGGGGGCAGTCTATTCTGACCTGTGTATGAAGAGGGATCAAGTGCCATTGGGGTGGGGGGAGAGGAAGAGGATTTTTAAAATCAGACCTCCATGTGTGTATTTTGCGGGGATACGGGTTTGTCTATCTGGGAAAGTGCATTTTAGTTATGAAGCAGGGGGAGGGGCTGCGTCTGCAGGGTACGTGTGTGCCAAGGAGGGTCTGTATCTGGGGGCACGGCAGGTTGCTCACCGTGTACTTTAAGGAACAGAGGAGGGAGGGTCTACACTTGAGGGAGACAGAGGCCGGGTTGGTGGTGAGCTGGGTCAGAGGGAACCAGAACGTCTGGGTAGCAGGAGAGTACAGGTATTAGGATCTCCCTGGGGAAAGCTCTGTGTGACCATCCTCTGTAGTGTGGGTGCATCTGGGGATCAGCAGAGGGTCTCGGATCCCCTTGGAGGAGTGAGCATGGGGTCTGCGTGTTTGTCAGGCTATGGAAAGGGGCTTTGTATTTGGGACTCGAAGAGAGACTATTTTTAACAAATCTAAAGAACTGAGGCTTGAGAAAGAACAAACGGGAAAGGGAGAGGAGTCTGAGGGAAGAGCAGAAGTGGCATCCCCATGGGGATGTGGGAGGGGACCTCCAGGAGGCGAGATGAGAGGCAAAGGGGAGACCAGATGGCTTGCGGGGTCAAGGGAGATGAAGGGGGGGTGGAGGGTGGGTCTGGGGCAACTCGCTGCAGTTCAGCCTGCTGTTAGGGGACCACTGCAACCTGGGGGAGGGTCCCGGGGGTCTGGCACCTCACCGTGAGAGCGAGGCAGTGACGGGCACAGGCAGCTTTGTGCAGCGCTGTCATGCCATCCCGGGCCCGGAAGTCGATGTGGGCCCCTCCCAGGCACAGGGTTCGAATCACCTCTACAGAGCCTTCCGTCTGGGCAGCCAGAGTCAGGGGGGTCTCTAAGGGGCAGGAAAGGCCAGTCACATGCAGCCCTTAGGCCCCGTTCTTGGCTCCCCCCGCCTCTTCCAAAGCCCCCGGTTCCCTCCCTACCTCCTGAATCCGAGTCATGATAATTGGGGTCCAGCCCCTTGTCCAGCAGCCGTGCCACCTTGTCGGACGTCCCGAGCTGCACGTACTCCAGGAACTTCTTCAACCCCGTCTGAGCCATGGACAAGAGAGAGAAGACAGGCCAGTCAGGGAGCAAGGGAGAAAAGCTGGGGTCTTGAGCAGCGCTGTCCAGTGGAAATACACAGCGAGCCGCGTGTGGCATTGAAAAGTCTCTAGTAGCCACCTTTAAAAAAAAAAAAAAAGGAAGGGGCACAGTTGATTGCACCGAAATTCATCTTAGTGACCTATCTTTTTAACCTGATATATCCACAATATTACCGTATCAACAGGTAATCCATAGGAAATTTATCAATGAGAAAGTTTACTCTTTTGGGATACTGAGTCTTCGAAATCCGGTGTGCATTTCACACTCACAGCGAGTCTCAGTTTGGACCTGCCACACCAGAAGTGCTTGGGAGCCGTATGTGGCCGGTGGCTCCCGGAGTGGATGGCGCAGGTCTGGAGGGATGGAATATTTGGGGGAGGACAGACACGAATGCATGGTGCGGTCAGGGTGGGGGATGAGGAGAGGCCAGGGACTTTTTTCCCAAGTGTCAAGAATCTTTCTCTTCACCTCTGGCTAAAGCGGCCCCCTGGCTTCCTCCCAGATCTTAGGGGACCAGGGGAGACACAGGGGACATATGGTCGGAGGCTGGGAGGGCAACATGGCTCTATGTGGCCAGGGGTGGGAGACATCCTAGGAGAGGTTTAGGCTATGGGATTGGGGGAACTGCAGGGTGTCTACAAAACAGCCCTGAGGCAGAGGGACACTGTGGGTCAGAGTCCAGGCCAAGTGGGGGGAGGCAGGGCCCCTGCGTGGATATGGGGGACCCAGAGATGAGATGGGAGAGCCCAAGGAAGAAGAAAGTGAGAGCCAGGGGGAAATGGTGTGGGCCTGGGCAGAGCAATGAGGGGCAGAGGGAGGGGGGAACGAAGAAGGGCTATGATGGAGAGAAGGGGGTGGCATTTGGGGCTGTCCCAAATGCAACATAGCATCTCAAGTGAGTGGGGGACCCTGGCAGAGGAACAGAAGGGGCTGGGGAACGTGGAGGGCTGCTGTGGGGAAGAGGTGGGAGAGGAAGTGGGAAAGTGGTGGTGGGGAGGGCTCCGGGTCTCTGTGGGGGGGATGTTGGGGGGTAAGCGCCAGCAGGGTTCTCTCACCTTCGTGTGCAATTTGGCCAGCTGCTTCTCATCCAGGTTGGTCTGTTTGTAAACCCGGGTCTTGTATCGGAACTGTGGCCAGGGGTGTATGAGGGGAGAGACACAGAGACTTGGAATCAGGGGCCTGGGGAGGAGGCTGGACTCCTTTTGAGCCAGTGGGGGGGGGGTCATCTCAGGGTCAAGGTGGAAACAGCCCTGGAGCCTTGGCTGGGTGGCAGAGGAGTGCGGGGCTGCTGCGGAGTATATGACTGCAACCCCTGATGTGGAGGAGTAGGAGTCTGGACCCCGCACAGAATGTTCTAGAACACCTACTGTAATTGTGAATCCTTTCCCACTTTGAAAGGCAAGGAGAAGCTTGGGGCAGGGAAGTGACTTGCCCAAGGCCACTCTGTTGGTCAGAGGCAGAACACGCTGTCCTTTGAACTCAGGCCTCTCTGACTCTAATCCTGAGGGGATCTGGAGGAGCCCACTGGGTTTTCCCTTGCAAGGGCATGACTGGGAGAAAAATGGGGCAAGCCTTCTCTCCTCTGTGACCAAGCTGGGCAGGCTGTGGGCCTCACCTCCAGGTAGGGCACCCCCTTCTCAAAAGACTGGGGGTACTCCCGAAGTAGCCGTTCCTCCTCCAGAAAGTTGGCATCGCGGCCTGAGGTGGCCGGCTGGAACAGACCGTAGTTGAGCACGTCCTGCAGGCTCTCGCTCAGGGCGCAGAGCACCTGCTGCTTGGCTGTCCAGATGGTGGCATCAGGGTTGAACCGCAAACATTTCTGGTTGGGGAGGTGACAGGGAGGAGCCTGAGGTGGTTTGGAAAGGTGGGGGGGGGTGATTCTGGGGATAGAAGGGGGCCTGGGGGAAGCATGTGGGGGTCTGAAAATGGGGGCCCAAAGGGGGCGGACGCCCAGCACCAGAAGCCTCCTCCTGCGGGTTGGGGTCCCTGTCCCCCACTGGTCAGCGGGCCGTCAGTCACTCACTGTCTGGTGCAGGTCCGGGATGCCAATCCTGAAGACCATCATGCTGAAGTGGGCGTCGTCCGGGACAGACATGGAGCGGCCCTGGAGGCCTCGGGTGGAGGCCAGACTACCAGGTGCTCCGCTGCCCTGGCCCCGGGTCCCCCGGGGGCCTCTGCTGGGCCCGTCTGGGGAGCTGTCGGACTCTGAGCCCCCCTCGGGACACTCGCTGGCACTGCGGCGTTCCTCGTCCTCGCTTGACGCGGGGCTGTGGGTCATCGTGGGGCCACGGGGCGACAGGGGACAGCAGCATCACAGGCGGCTGCTGGGGGGCCAAGGGCGGCTGTCAGATGAGGAGCCCGGACTCTTCGGAGGTGGCAGGCAGCCTTGTGGATGAGCGGTCGAGGGCTGCCACCCCACATGCCCCAGGCTGGCAGGAAGGAGGCTGGACACACCCCCAGATACTCCTGCCGCCTCTGCTCACACACGCCCATCCCTGCCATGCTTCCAGCGCGTCTCCTTCCCTGCCCTTGGCCCTGCTCGCAGCCCCCCACCCCTCCTGCGCCCCACTTTGCCGCTGACCCAGCATGGCAGTGTCCCAGAAACCGCAGAATCACCGCGGGAGCTACTGGCCCACTTTGGCAGGTCACGGAAAATGCAGCTAAAATTAGCTGAGGACAGACAGGTGGACGACCCCCCCGGCATCCTGCCCTGCTGGCCCCAGCCTGGCCCCTCACCCGAGGCCCTCTCGTCCTCCTCCTGGATAGCTGGTCGGGCGAGGCTGGGACGTAGTAATGGGGAGACAGAGGTGCTGTGAGTCTGGGGCGGCAGAAGTGGGAGGCCGCGTGGTGCCCGGGAGCGGTGCCCGGGAGTGGGGAGCAGTGGAGCTGGTGACGGCACTCAAGTGTGGCTGACAACGTGTGCAGAGGACTGCTGGGAATCAGTGTCCCAGGGGAGCGGGGACACTCAGATGCAGGTGTCACGGGGCAAACTGTCATGCATGGGGCGTCCCCGAGGGAACCACAAGACGCGGCCTCTGCAGGCTGTTGGGGGCATCCTGAGAAGGGTGTGGGCGGGTGGGGACACTGGCCTGGGTGGGCCGGCTCGTGCTGGTAGTGTGGTGGCCTGGGTCAGTGTGGGGTGGCTGTGGATAACCTGGCACTACAGGACAGGGGAATGGCATTGCCTGGTACTGGCCGATGCGCTCTGAGGGAGACTGGGGGGCTGGGAGGGTGGCTAAGAGTGGGGTGATGGTCTGGGGGACTGGGGTGGGAGGTCATCTCACACCCCCAATATTGTCTCCCAAGGTGGCCTTATAAGCCTGGGTCCCAAATGGGGTCCGCCTCTCTCTTCTTCTCCCAGTCTCCCACCCCAGCACCGGAAACCAGAATGTCTGGTCTGGTCCCTCCCCCCCACACCAGGCCCAGCTCCTGCACCGTTGCCATGGAGATGGGAAGCAGTGGAGGGTACTGCTGACTTTGGGGGAGTGGGGATGGGCTGGGGGGGTTGGGGAGGGAAGACAAAATGAGTGTGCAGGGAGGACAGTTCCAAGAGCTGTGGGTGAGCGAGCAGCTTAACCACGAGCTGGCCAACCCCTCCCCCATGCGTGGCCAGGCTGAGAAGCCCCCTCCCCCCTCCAGGTACCCAGCAGAGCTGCCCCACCTTGCCCTTGCGGAGGCCCCCTGGCCTTCTACCCGCAGGACTCCACATCCCACCTCCGGACCGCAGCCCGCTGCCACTCCCCCTCGGCTGACCCTGGCTGACCCCAGCCTCACCCGGGCACTAATGGGGTGGCCCGGGGGATGAAAGCAAAGCTGGCCCGGGCTCCCCCGCGCGTGCGGCTGCCCCCAACCCCCCAGACCAGCTCCGGCCCCTCCCCCTCAGGCCCGAGGGAGGGAGCGGGCACACTCCGCCGGGGCGGCATGAATCAAACGCTCCGCGGCTAAGAATAGCTGGCACGCAGCTGGTACTGAGACGGGCTGAGGAATCGGC